TGGCCACGAAAGTTCGCGCAACGATGCGATTTAATTGCGAGATTAAGCATCGCGTTCTCATTCTGTGCGATAAGTATCATCGTTGTATCGTCGAACAACTAGACAAATCTTCGAGCGATTAATGAAATTTATCTGGCGTGAATGAAAAATGACCCGTCCGTAAAATCCGATCCGTAATAATCATACATACAACAATGCAATGATGAGAGTATTCTTAATATTAACACATATCGCGATGTTTCTGAAAAGTTCTTCTGTATTTGAAATTAAAATGGAAATGTGACAGAAACCAAACATAATTCCTGTTTGCCGGGTGATGACAATTGAATATTCATGAACTAACGCGCGCGACTACGAATTCCCTCACAAGTTTACATTGACCGGTTTTTGCAATATTCAAAGATCGAAGCAATCATGCTCTGTACAAACGCAGAATCCTTGAGAATAGTTTATAGAATTTATTTCTGTCTTTATGTACATATAAAACCTCTTTTTTTCTACAATGTAATCAAGTCGGTGATTTTTCCATTAAATAATTTTCTTGTTTTTGCGACCGATTAAATTTCAATACAAAATTAATATTAATGTTTCTCATATATGTGTTAGAGAACGATTTTCGAGAATCAGCATTTATGTAGAAATTATTCACTCTTTTAGTGTCTCCACAGGCTCGTGCGCAGATTTTGGACTATGGCTTTTCTGATCGATACGAAACAACAGCCGCGAATGGCCGGTCAGGTCGTTCCAAGTGGAGCGGCAACACTGATCTTTCCGGACCACCGGGTCATAATAAATGGGGGGGTGGTGGTAAAGGGCCACCAGGTGGTCGCGGTCCTCCCGGATTAGGGGGCGGCGGTCCTCCAGGATTGATTGGTAAACGTCCTCCGGGCTGGAACAAAGTGGACACCGAAAATTCGACCGAAGGTGAAAACTATCCACGTCCAAATAGCAATGAAAACTATCCACGTCCAAATAATGATGAAAATTATTCACGTCCAGATAGTGGTGAAAACTATCCACGTCCAAATAACAATAATAATCATCCACGTCCAAATAACAATAAAAATCATTCACGCCCAAATAATGGTG